GGTCTCAGTGTCATCATTCAGTAAATTTATGGCAGACTCCCAAATCTACGTTTCTAGTCCATCCAGCATTTCTAGGTGCCTGATGTTATCTTCACTGGTGTATCATATATCCAACTGAAATAAACTTGTAATTCTTTCTAACAATCACCTGAAGACAGGTAGGCATTATGTCTTAAAATGTTTTTCTTTTTAATGTTATTGCATCAATTTCCCTCTCTCCTTTTGTTACTTGCATTTTCCTTCTTGGGGCCTTAAACTTCAGACTTAAAATTCTAACTCATCAACCTACCAATGATACCTCCTGCTCAAAGCTACCCCTCTAGCATGTTAACCTTTCTAGGTAATCTTGCTACGGGCATGCAAATATACCATAACTCTCACCACTTACATAACCATTTCAAAGCACTTCATAATCTCACTACATAGTAGACCTTTTAACATCGTGTATTCAGCCACTTGAATTACTTATGGTTCCCTAGAATATGGACTGATCTTTGACTCTTGCCATTCTCCCACTTTGAAATTTCACTCAATTCCTTCAAGGTCTCTCTTAATTATTACCTCCTGAACGAGCTTCTACCAGACAACAGAAACACTTCGTTTCATTTACTGTGTGTCAAGAACATTGATAGGAATTAGAATCTCCCCAATTTCACTGGTATTTTCAGTGAAAACTGGTGTTTTCAGATTGTATAAACACAGTCTGAGTTCTCTGTACATGCCTTTTTGTCTCCCCTGGAGATTTTCTGTTCACAAAGACTTGTATTTTGCTGATATTTGCACTCTCGTTATCATCTAAACAGTGTGACAGAGTAAATGCTGAAGTATTTACTGAAGTCAACCAATACAGTATCTTTTAAGCACTTACATACAGCATGAGGTTACATGGTAGGAAAGGAATTTGAAGACCTGTGAGCCTTCCATCTGGAAATTTCATTTGAAATGCTCTATAAACTCTATCATGTGACAGTGCTAGGGAAACTGTGTCTTCATCTTAGCTTCAAGTTTGTAGTTAGACCTGAAGTCAGTACAATAACTAGGTGTAAACATCTATGTTCAAGTGGTTTTCAACAAAGGTGCCAAGACCATTCAATGGGGAAAGAATAGTCTTTTCTTCCAATGGTGCTTGTGACAACTGGACTGCCACATGCAAAAGAATGAAGATGAATCCTTATCTCACACCACATACAATACAAGAATTAATTCAAAACAGGTCAAAGATCTAAATGTAAGAGCCAAAAACGATTAGACTTTTAGAAGAAAACACAGATATAAATCTTTATAACATTGGATTTGGCAGGGCATTCTAAGATAGGACATTGAAAGGAGGAGCAACAAAACAATAGATAAAATGAATTTCATAAAAATTTTTAAAAATTTGATTCAAAGAACACCATCAAGAACATGAAAAGACAACCCACAGAATGGGTGAAAATATTTGCAGATCATGTATCTGATAAGGAACTTATTATCTAGAACACATAAAGAATTTTTATAACTCAGTAATAAAAAGCCAAGCCAATTTAAAAATGAGGTAAGATCTGAATAGACATCTCTCAAAAGAACATACTCAAATGGCTAATAAGCACATGAAAAGATGTGCGACATCATTAGTCATCAGGAAAATGCAATGAAAACCATACTGGGATACCACTTCACATCGATTAGGATAATCAAAAAGTTAGATAATAACAAGTTTTGCTGCAGATGTAGAGAAACTGGTACCCTCACACACAGGAATGTAAAATACTTTCTGTGGGAAACCATTCTGACAATTCTTAAAATGATTAAATGCAGAATTACCATATTACCCAGCAATTCTATTTGTACATGAATGTTTACTGCAGCAATATTCATAATAGCTAAACGTGAAAACAACACATACATCCATCAACTGATGAATGGATAAACAAAATGTGGTACAGCCATACAATGGAATATTATTCAGGTATAAAAAAATTATTAAGTACAGACTTCGAAATCATTATGCTAAGTGAAAAAAGTCAGTTACAAAAGACCACATATTACATGATTTCATTCATATAAAGTCCAGAATAGGGAAGCCTAGTGAGACAGAAAGTAAATTAGTGGATGCTCCAGGTTAGAGGTAGGTAGGTTTGGGGAGTGGAGGTGAGGATGGGATGATAGTTAAAGGGTAGAGGTTTCTTTTTTGAGGTGATAAAAATGTTCTAAAACTGGTGAAGGCTGCACATATTTGCAAATATACTAAAAACCACTAAATAATACACATTAAATGGGTGACTTGTACAGTATGTGAATTATATATAAATAAAGCTATTTTTAAAAAGGACATATAACTTTCCTGGTTTTATTTTTGTTTACATACTATTCCATGTTGCTTTAGGGTAAGTACTTCCTGAGCTTAGGATTGTATCATTTAAGGTAAAAGCAGTATTCCTAAACAAGCCTTGCCTCTCAGGTACCAAAAAATAAGCTTTTGCCAGATTTTTTTCCCTTATCATTCTTTTCCCTGCTCCCAGACAAGCCTCCTACCACTGTTTCATAGTCACAACAGAAACATGGAATAGAGTTTTAAATATCTTTTCAGAATATAGCTTTATGTGACAGCTTTTAATTTTGAAAGGAAAGTTATTTATATTGCATTAAAAATACACAAATGCACTAAGATGTATGTATAGTCATCACAAGCTTAACAATTATGACTGTGAAGCTGTCTATAATCTGATTTTCACTTACAGATTTCAGTGGATTTTTTTTCCCTCCAAATGCCCTCAAAGTAAAAGTTTCTACATGAGTAAAATAATTTTTAAAACTCTTAAAAAAAAAACAAACTAAAGACAATAATTTGTATGTCTTACTTTAATTTACAGAGTAGGTAATAACTACTCAAAGCAGATGATATGCATCAGAATTATCTGGGGCTTTGCAACTCATTGTTGTCTATGGACCAGGAAAGTCAGGAGGAGAGTTTGTTAAAACTGAGTAATAGCGGGCTTATCCCAGCACCAGAGAATCAGATTTTGCACTTTAACAAGATCCCTGGTTAACTTATGTATAAAATTTGAAAAGCAATGATTTAGAAAGCTAATTAAACATGCAGAGTCCATGGAGGCAAAGGCATCTGCATTCTAAACAAGAATTCTGTGGTGTCTCCTCCATTCTCAAGTTTTGAGAAGTTCTATTTAAAACAAAAGTTCCAGAGCACTGGAAGAACATTTCTTTAGTTTTTGGTGTACTAAGAAATACTGCCACATACCCTTCCCCAAATTGTTTGAAAAGAAAAGAAAAAAAAAATTCTGAATTTACAAATCTCACGGTTAAACTACAATAAAATAACCTGAATGAGTGAGTTTATGAAATACAGTTGAGATGAACAATCAAAACCAACATTTACAACTTCCACAGTGCACTAACCAAGATACATGTATTCAAAACTTCTATAGACTTTTACTGAAGAAGGAAAAAAACACCTCAAATACCTTATTACAAAGTCTAATCCAAATGGAAAACAGACTATAGTTCCTTTTATTCAAATCTAAAATTAAGAGAATGCTTAATGCTCACAGCATTCTAGTTTGCACTAAGTAAATCAAATTAGTTCTGATCCTTGCTGGCATAAAATATACAGCCGTCAAAGGGAATATAGGTTTTAGGATAATGAATAGACACTACTTTCAATGCATCTTAAGGTAGTTGTATAGTATGTACAAAAGGCTAAAACCATATTAACCCCAAAAGGTAATCTGTTATGAAGACAATTTTTACTAATTCTTAGGAAGATGGTTTTAATCCAGCAGTAGTTACTAAATCTAGATGTTCAAGATTTTGTAAGGAACACAATGATGATCAATTTATTTTTCCTAGCCCCAATAAGCACATAATCTGAGGGGAGATGGGGTTTGAGCAGGTACCTGCACACACAATTAGTAGAATGTGGTCAGTACTTAACAACGGTTCCCGAAGCTCCCAGGTTCAGGTAACTGAATTTCAGATAATGGGTATTTTTCAGTAATTTCCAACTTACTTGGTGCAAAGTTGGACAAGCCAAGAAAGCTTACTAAAAAGCACTTTTCAAGTACAGCTAGAGATAAACGATCCTCTGGGAAATTTGCTTATACTTTCGCACATTTAAAATTGGACTATGAAGTGTGTGTACCCCCATCAAACACAAAGCAATTCAAACATACACTGGATATAGAAGGCCCAGTACAGTTAAGTTCATAAAAGAGTGTTTCCTTTGACAAAAAACAAGAACACTCAACTTCAGAAATCGCTGATCATGCGAGAAGACAGGAAAGGGGTGCGAGGATCTGTTATTTCTCCCCTGGTAACGTTAAAAAAAAAATTCCCAGCAGTTTCCTGGATTACTCCCTCCTTCAACTTTGTGTTGTATAAACACTCCGATCCTTAAAAAGAATAGTAACTAAAGAAGACAAACAAACCCATCAAATGAAGTTACCAACAGTTCAAAACAGAAGTACTTCCCTCCAGGGGAACTAACAGTGCTCGAAGGGCTGTGGCTGGAGAAGGTGCACCCACGCGCTCCCTACAGAGCCTCGGCCACTCAGCGCTCACTTCCCTGCAACCCCCCGACAGGGGCACCCCCTCCGTGGGAAGGGAACTGCAAGCCCCTCTCCAAAGGGGCTGCGGAGGTCTCCGCGGAGGGCGGCGAGGTGTACTGGAAGCCGGCGCCAGAGCTCCTCTGTCTGCCAGAAGAGGTGCGAGTGGCACCGCGCAGGGCCAGCTGAGCGGGTAAAGGGCTACGATGCTCCGTTCGGTCCCAGCTTCTCTGAAGTCCCAGGCCGGCCGGCTGCTCTCCTGAGGAGGCCCGGCCGCCCAGCTCAAGCTGCAGCCCAAGGGCAGGTGCGCGAGCTGGGGCCCGCGCGTCACAGGTGTCGCCCTGACCAGGTCCTTGCAAACCCGAGAGGTGGGGAGGACAAGTCGGGACGGGGAAAAGCACCTAAAGGTGAGACGCTTGGCAGCAGCGGAGCGCAGCGCGCACGGCGACGCGGTCTCACCTCTAGGGTGGAGACAGTGCTGGTGAACAAGTCTTCTCCTTCCTCCAGCTCCTCAAAGTCGGTGGGCTTCCCGTCCCCCAGCGGAGGAGGTTCCCTCTCGGCCGCCATCTTCGCTCGCCCGGACGACTGCGCGAGCGGGGCCGGACGGCCCTGTCACGTGAGCACGCACGGCGGGGCCGGTGCGCCGGCCGCCCGGCTCCCCGCCCCCCGCGGCCCCGCCCCTCTGCCGCCTCGTTCGCCTCCGTGTCTGGGTCGCTGGCTTCTTCTCACCGCCCGCTTGTTGTGCTGACCTTTGTGCAAGAACTTGGACTTCTGTTATCACACCTTAGCAAGAGACTGGGTCAGACGATTTTCGTTGGCATTACCATTTAAAAATCTTTGGAAAGTGGAAGAACGTGGGGACCAGTCTTTGGTCTTGGATTATATACAGGCTGAGGGCAAGACTGAGAACTGGCGGAAGGGAGACATCGCTCTTAAATCTCTAGGCTGTCCAACTCGACTTCCTGGCATGATGGAAATATTCTGTATCACTGTAGCGACGGGCCACGTCTGGCCACTGAGCACTTGAAAGGTGACTAGTGTGACTGAGAAACTGAGGATATTAATGAATTTAAGTCTGTTACCCACATAGGCTAGAGGCTACCAATTGGACAATGCAGCTCTAGAAACCAAAAAAAAAAGCCCTGAATAATACGTTGTCTGAAGTTTACTGCAATTTCATTATGAGCCACACAATATTGTCCTCAATGAAGAGTCTGAAAAAAAAAATGACAATTAGGTAAATAAGTGGGTTTTGGTAAGAGTGCCATATTCAAGTCCCTCTATCAATTACTAGCTCTTTATCATGGGCAGTTTTCTTGAAAACTTCCAGCTTTAATTTCCTTAACAGTAAAATGGGAATGTTATTAACTCTTCACTTACTTCTCTGTGCAGGATTATTGTCAGGATCAAATGAGAAAATGTGTGAAAGTATTCTGAAAGCTATAGAGTGCTGTGCTAATGCAAAGTATGTTTGTGGAGAAATAAAAGGGGATATTGCAAATAGCAACCTGAGGTTATAATTTTGCTGGAGGAAAAAAAAAAGCTTAACAGGGATTCTTTACAAATTAACTACACACTCAGCCCTCACTGGCCTGGGAGTTACAAGACCTGGATTCTAACGGCTACATGGAAAATTTAGCATCCCACGTTTTTTTGTGTTTTTTTTTAATAAACATGCAATGCATGGGAACAAGGTTGTTCTAGTCCCTAGGATTTCTCCAATCCCCTAAATTTCTAATTTCCTATGATTATTATGAAGAAGCATCAACCCAAAACATGATGAATTTAAGTTATATACCAAGGTCCAAATGTTGAATGGGTGAATTTGATGCATGGACCAATTGTCATTACTGACAAATGAAAAACTTCATCGAGACAGAGATCTCTGAAATAAAAGGTTTGATTGACCCTTTACAGTCAGGAAAAGGAGTAGAACAGGATCCCCAGCAGCAAGGCCAGTTAACAAAAACAACTTATCACCAGACTTAAGAAATAGGGGTCATTTACAAGACGTTCTCAAGGAAAGTAAATTGTTTAAATTTACATTGGCTACAGATAAAGGAGGTTGGCTAACATGAAGGGTTGGGGGGAGTTCAGGGATAGGAGTTTAGTCCATTGAGAAGGCTTGTGGATTGGTTGTTGATGATGGTCAGGAACTATTCTGGGGACTTCTAGATAATTGTTGAAAAAACTTCATCCAGGTACATGGAGATTCTGGTTAGCTATTGACCAATTATCTTCCCTTGTCTCTTTCCCCATTCTCTAGACCTCCGTCACTTAACTTTAGGACATTTCATAAATTTTCCTTTTTACTACATGCTACCATCACCATTTCTTTCTAGAGTCACTGCTGTCTGCCTGTCTGGAAGAATCTGCTGTTGAGACACATTCCCTGGCCTTCACATCTCTACTTATGGAGAGTCTGGAGTTTGTCACTGATTAGAAACTTTAACCTTTTTTGAAAGCACATAGCCTGGCTTGAGACGATTCTTCTCAAATAAGGACATCTTCAATTGTTACCCGTGCATCTGTTTGTTGCTTACTACTTTCTGTCTTACTAAGGTCACTGCATTCCTAGCTTATCTTCTTTACTGGACATCTTTACTGAAATATATAGGTCCACCCTCTTATAACAGACAGAGAACCACATTAAGAGTAACTTTAAAAGAACGTAGTTTAATTATTCCTCATGTAGGATCGTGAAGGCTCTTTGTGATCTTCCAGGGATTACAGGTTCCTTCTGTTCTACGCTCCTTAGGATGTAATCTCTTCCTCATGGTCCATGTCGGCTCGCCAAAACAACCACCTTCTACCTTGCAGAAAAGGAGTCAAAGGGAAATGGAGTGCTGTCCCCTTCGCTCTAAGGGCACACACCATGGAGTGCATGACTTAGGCTTGAGTCAAACAGAGCACTGACTCCCTTAGCCCTGCTGACTGGTGGGAAGTCAGAACAGGCTGCATTTCCCCCAAACTCTGAGCAGCTTTGACTGTCTTTCCCTATGCAACCTAACGTCCATGATTGAGAACTGTAAGGACTGTCTTGCTATTTTTCCTCAGCAATTGTTCTTTCTTGCTCCTTTGCTTCTGTTTCATCTCTGAAATCTCAGATTCACCCATCAGCTTCTCTAATCTTATGTCCATTTTGCTGAGAGCACTTGAAAAAATAAATCCCAAACTCAACTGAAGATCCTGTAGGATCTTCAACACAAACTCCACACTGCCTAGATAGTGTTACTTGTTTAACAAATCCTTCAACTATTCTTTCTGGTAGCGGCTTCTAAAAATTCATTTTCTCTTCAGGTATCCTATCAAATTTTCTCCTATTTGTCATCAAATGACTTAGGCTCCTTATACAATTACAAAATCAAAATCTGCTGAGTAAATCCTTCAACCTTCAAGTACAATTGAAATTCTCTTCTCCCCATGCTCCCGTCACTCACTGTGTCTGTTTCTGTAACACTATCACTTTGTACTATGATCATGGCTACTTTTCTATCACCACTAATAGTCTAGAGGATCATTAAATTCAGGGGCTATTACTTATTTGACTTTGGATCCTGGGTAGTCCTGTATTAGTTATCTGCTGCTAATCATATCAAACTCAGAAGCTTAAAAACAAGTATTTCTCATGATATCTGTGTATCAGAAATCCAGGTGCAACTTAGCTGAGTGCCTCTAACTCTGGGTCCCCTTACATGGTTGCAATAAAGATATCTACCAGAGCTGCAGTCAGTTCAGGACCCACCTAGGAGAGGATCTGCTTCCAAGCTCACACACGTGGCCAGTGACTGGCTCTAAGTTCTTGCTGGCTGTTGACTGGAGATGTGAGTTCATTGCCCCACAACCTCTCCATAAGGGTTCTTACACAACATGTCAGCTTGCTTCCCCCAAAGCAAGGACTCTGAGAAGAGAGACAGCACCAAGAAAGGACAGGAGAGGGTGACCAAGACAGAAGCCAGAGTCTATTTGTAACATAAACTCAGAAGTGGCATCTTATCCTTTTTTGCTGTTTTCTTTTCACGTGCATGGGTAAAACAAGGGTGTGAATAATAGGAGGCAGAAATCTTGGGGGCTGTTTCAGAGGTTCCCACAACCCCCCGCAATGTTTAGTACTCAGTGAAATAGATACCCTATTAATACCTTCAATCAATAAATGAATGAACATATGATACTCAGGAGAGACAGCTAAGTGGGAGATCTAGATTTGGCAGTTAAAGCCACTAGTGCATGAGAGGACCCGGGAGGTCTGGGAAGCACAACACTAAAGGTCATCAAGAAACAGGCATGGAACAGGCACTATAAAGAAAACTAAAATGCAGTCATCAAAGAAATAGGAAGCAATCTAGGAGAGAGGGCTATGAAGGAAGCAAAAGAATAAAGAAGATGAGAGTATTTGGCAGTATCAAATACTGTGGGTATATCAATAAGATGATAACTGAAAAGGATGAATAATTATGAGCACAAAAAATGCACACAGCAAGTTGTGCTGGTTAATTTTATGTTGACTTGGTTGGACCACAGTGCCCCAATATTTGGTCAAGCATTATTCTGGAGGGTTCCATGAAAGTGTTTTTGAGGCTGAGAGTAACATTTAAATCAGTGGACTTTTAGTCAAGTAGATTATTCTCTGTAATGTGGGTGTGCCTCCTCCAACCAGCTGAAGGCTTTCAAAGAACAAAGACCCCCCCCTCCCCTCCCACCCAGAGAAAGAAGGAATTTTGCAGCACACTGCCTTTGGACTTGAACTGCAACTCTTTGAGGTTTTAACCTGGTGGCCTACACCATCAGATTTTGGACTCACCAAGCCTCCACAATTGCATGAGCCAATTCCTTAAATCTTTCTGTGTGTGTATGTATATGTTATATACATACACACATCCTGTTGGTTCTGTTTTCTGGAGAACCCAAACATGCATATAAGGCTTCATATGTATTCATGAAATATATAATGTGGAGGAAGGACAGAATAGGTCAGTAACTTGCTGAAGATTCAGGTTTTTGTTTTTTTGTGTGTGCTAGTTTTAATTAGAGACATACATACACATGTTTATTATATATAGAAAGAGAGATGAAATAGAGCAAGAGGTTGAAAATACAGTATGGAGAAACTTAAAATACAATATGGAGCTGTAGGGCACCAAGGGCAGGCCACCCCAGGATGTTCCACTGTGACATGCAGATTATTTTGAGCTGAAAATTATCCAGGTCCAGAAGACTCAAAAAGAAACTTTGACCTCCCACCCCACAACTACATAAAAAGAATTTAGATGGAGGAACTACTCCAGGAGGAGAGCTAGCACCATAGATAGCTATATTATAATTAAACTAGGTGTGATAGACAGGGAGGGATGTGCTAAGTCTGTTAAAATTCCTTTGTGCCACCTCATTGTTACTGTGTGGCCCAGCATATATTTGCTAACTAAACATCTACTCTCTCCATATTCCTGTGAATTATTTCCCTTTTCCTTTGAAGTCTCAGACTCCTATCCCCTTGTCCTTTGGTTCAGGATGACATATATACCTCATTCTCCTTATTTTTGGAATTATGGCCTCCCCCTATGTATGTACATATATATATTTTTTTCTCCTGTTAATCTGTTTCAGGTCAATTTGGTTCT